TGTTGATTTGAGCCATTTTAACACCGAAGGTTGTTAAGCCTCAAATCATAGTGACCATGGCTCCAATACCACTTGAAAGGTCCTAATGGCTAGAGGGGGGTAAATAACCTATTGAAAATTTCTACAACACTTAGCAAAGATGCTTAGACAATTACACGGTGAAGCGAGTGTTGCGCTAGCCTACTAAAGATGCAAAGCCACCTACCTCAATTCTAGTTGCTATAGTCTCTAAGCACACAATGCTAGGTCACTACCACTAAATTAGTGAGCTCTCAAAGACTAACTAAAGAGCCTCACTAACCACTAAACCCGACGCAAGCTAGCTCTCAAAACTAATTACACTAAAGAGCTTAGCTTACACACTAGGAAAGTAAATATAAGAGAGGATGGTGATGATTATACCGACGTGTCAGGGAGTGAGCCAATCACAAAATGGAGCCAATCATTCAATCACAAGATAACCAATGAAATTCTTGGAACAAGATGACATAAGATTTTTTATCGAGGTTCACTTGCTTGCCGGCAAGCTAGTCCTCGTTGTGGCGATTCACTCACTTAGAGGTTCACGTGCTAGTTGGCATCACACGCCAAACCCGCAACTAGGTGTCCGCACAACCAACACAAGATGAGAATCACACAAGCCTCGAGCAATCCACTATAGTACCTTTTGGCTCTCCACCGGGAAAGATCAAGAACCCCTCACAATCACATCGATCGGAGCCGGAGACAAATCACCAACCTCCGCTCGATGATCCTCGCTGCTCAATGCCATCTAGCTGGCGGCAACCATCAAGAGTAACAAGCGAATCCCACAGCGAAACACGAACACCAAGTGCCTCTAGATACAAACACTCAAGCAATGCACTTGGATTCACTTCCAATATCACAAAGATGATGTATCAATGATGGAGATGAATGGGAGGGCTTTGGCTAAGCTTATAAGGTTGCTATGTCAATGCAAATTGCCAAGAGGGTGAGCTTGAGCCGGCCAAGGGGTTAAATAGAGAGTCCCCACGAATAGAGCCGTTGAGCTCTTGCACCTCACTGTTCTCGGGCTGACCGGACGCACCGTCGATCAGATGTGATCGGACGCACGCCTCAGCGTCCGATCAACCGATGCCGTCCATGTGTCTCTCCCGTTCAACCTTGCATGTACGATTCCAATGGTCAAGTGACTGAGCGCGATCGGTTAAGTGATGATCGGACGCGGTGAGCCACCACCTGACGCTCCCGCGTCGCGTCAAATCAACGCTGCTCCGCGCGCCTCCAACAATCGACCAGACGCGCCGATCACCTCGGCAGCCCGCGCGTCAGGTCGGTTCCAGTAAGGTTCTAGAGCCGCTTTTTACACGATCGGACGCGTCAGGTCCACCGCGACCGGACGCAGCCCTACGTCCGCTCCTCCAACTCCTCGCTGAGCGCCGCCACATCGCCATACGGCAGCCTGACTTGACGCACCAATGGCGAGTCAGGTCACCAGTTGCTCCAGCATCCGGTCAATGGCTGAAAGCAGCCCGAGAGCGCCACCTCGTTTTATAAATGACCGGACTCTCCACCTCAGCGTCAGGTTAGTTCGACCTCGGCGTTCGGTCACTGTAAAACAGTGACAATCACCTCCTTCACTTCTCCAATTTCTCCACCTTTGCTCAAATGTGCCAACCACCAAGTGTATCACCTTGTGCACATGTGTTAGCATATTTTCACAAATATTTTGAAGGGTGTTATCACTCACTAGAATCTAAATGCATATGCAATGAGTTAGAGCATCTAGTGGCACTTTGATAACCGTATTTCGATACGAGTTTCACCCCTCTTAATAGTACGGCTATCGATCCTAAATGTGATCACACTCGCTAAGTGTCTCGATCACTAAACCAAAAAACTCCTATCAAGTTTCACCTTTGCCTTGAGCTTTTTGTTTTTCTCTTTCTTTTTTTCCAAGCCGAGCACTTGATCACCATGGCCTCACCATCATCATGATCTTCACCATTGCTCCACTACTTGGAATAGTGCTATCTATCTCATGATTACTTTGATAAACTAGGTTAGCAATTAGGGTCTTATCAATTAAAAAAACAAACTAGAGCTTTTAACCTCTTGGGCCCAAACTGGTCACACGGAAACCGCCCTGGAAGTGTCAGGCCGGCCTCGTCCAACTCCTGGGCCGTATCCATCCACAACGCTTCGTGCTTCCCTTTTGGGCCTCCCTCGCTTGGGTCCCAGGCACTCAGCCCAACAAGAAGAAAACTTGTCGGCCCTGTTGTCACGACATGCATGATTGCCCGATCATCAATCTCAATCCCCCTCTGCTCCAAAAAAAAAAAAAAAAAACTCAATCCCCCAGCCAGCCAGCCAGGCAGGCCACGGAAGAGGAAAGGAAAGCGGCATGGGCAGCACGGTGATGTGTGCCTTTTGTGTGAACGCAAGTAGCGAAAAGCGAGCTGTACTCTCCGTCCTACTCTGGAATTTGGAACGGGTTCCGTTACAACTTTTCTTCAGTAGAAGAGTTGGTGCGTATAGCTCCTCCTATAAGCTCTGTGTTAAGGGCTTGCTTAGCGTAGCTGTAACTTTTGGCTCTAGTGTAGTGAGTGATAAAGTTTTAGAGGTGTGAAGCTCTCTTATAATCTGCTTTTTCTTCATTTGAAAAGCAACCTAAATAATATTTTTCTCTCATTTGAAATCAGAGAAAAACTTTTCTTGTTTGTTTTTCAAAAAAAGTGACGGATTAAAGTTTTAGAGATGAAGCTCTCGTAATACGTTAAAAGTGGTTAGCTAAACGACCTTATTGCGGTGTCGGTTTGAGCCACTTTATAAGATTGTATCTTATCTTTAATATTATATATTGTATCTCGTGGCACTGATTTAGTGATACTATTTTTTTTATAAATATTAATCGAAATTAAAATAGTTAGATTTAGGATATTTTAAAAATTTGAGACGGACAAAGTATTGTCGTGTGTTGTTTGCAAAGTTTGGATGAAGGGCTTAACCACGCTTAACGCGCGGTTATTGTCGTGTGTTGTTGGAGGGTACAAAATACTGTAGCTATCATTTAGGTGTAGCAGGAGAGAAACGGTTTCGTGCTTTCGGCTCGTGTCAAAACAAACTGTGGAATGGAACACGGAAGAGCAGGAGCTGTAGTTTTTTTTAATACCTCAACTCTTCAAGTAAATTGTAACTCTCGAAAAAGTTCACTTTAGGACCCCTCCGAACTTTTGCGACTAATTCATATCACCATATTTTTAATTTGTTGATATCTTTTTATTCAAACTCAAATATAGCAAATATATATCAATTTTGATCGTCTCGATGAGCTCTTTGCAATGGTGTACTCCTCGTTGTTTGGAGATAATTTTATTTCATGAAAAAAATAAATATTTCTACAAAACAAGTTAGAATAATAGAACTCGTGGAATTTGTTAGATAAATAATATTTTATTATTATGTAACACGAAATGTTGTCTTTTTAGGTTCATTTGACCATAGAATATATAAGTTTGACCATTTTGAAATACAATAATTCAAAACTTGTTTTGTAGAAATATTTCGCTTTATCTTCACGCAATAATTCAAAATCTCCATTGTTTTACGACACGAGCTTTCTTATCCCCTCGCGTCGTCGAGGCGACGAGCGCGCATCCGCCACGGAGATCCTCGCCCGGACGACCTTCCGCGGGCACGCTACCAACTTACCGATGCCGCACATTCTAGACCACGAGTAAGCCACTCACACAAACACCTCACCAATCTAGCTATCACCATGCCACTTCAGATACTCATGCCATGCTTGCATACGTGGGCAATAGTAGCCATAGGAAAGGAAAAAGGACAGTGTACACCGCGACAGAATCGATCTTGTTTGGGTACAAGATAAATATAATACTACTACTACCACTAGCTACTTGACACCACAAAAGAAAAAAAAAAACTACACTAGGAGCGATAAACATATCGTCATCCTAACTATTAGGATACGTCCACGTGCGAGGCAACGGAATTTATATAGGAACTATATAAATATGTTTGTAACTGGTTTTGTAAAATATCAAACAACAAAACTCGAACCATTGCAAAGAGCTCGAAACAAAATTGATATATTATTTGCTATATTTGGAGCCGGTGGCCTCCATTTTGCTTAAAAGAGTCTTGACGTCCGGGAGTTGAAGGTTGAAATCCATACTTCTACGATAGTTGGAGGTCCTAAAGTGAACTTAACCCTTTTTTTTATGCCTCAACTCTTCTATGTATAAGCCATAGTATTTAAACTTACATACCACGGCTCTAATACATAAGCTAGATCTATATCCGATGAAAGGCTTGCACGTGACTAAAAGATATTCGAAGACTTCACCTATGATGGACACGTCATCCTAACCGTTACGAAGACGCTCGAACCGTGACCGGTGTGGCCTCCGCTCCCGGAGAGCACACCAACCGAGCCACGGCTCGGTCCCCGCAGGAGCTGTAGTTTTAATGAGGCTCGGACCGGGCGATGTCACCGTGCACTGAAGTAGGGAGAGGCGTGTGGATAGGCAAGCCAATCAAAAGAGGAAAAATTAAAATAAAACACGGAGGAGTTGGTGCCGTGGCGTGGCGATCCGTCTCATCTGAGTCACCTCATCATCCTCTGCTCTGACTTCTGCACTCTGTCACTCATCCTGCGGATAACAGCAACAGGTGGATGCCATCCCATCCCTCATCGTAAATTCGTGATCCCAATCCGATCTGATTCCGATGCGATCAGGCAGGCTCCCGTGTCCCGTGCTCCCACCCAACCTACCCGATCCCGAACCCATCACTGCTCCGCCGAGACTGACTGACGCTACAGCTTTTTACCCACCATTTATTTACACGACATTATTCCCCTCCCCACGCATGCTAAAAGTGGAGTAGTACAGTAGTATTTGCTAGCCTCTCGCATTGACAACCCAGCCGGTGGTTTGCTTTGCTTTGCTTTGGTTACGTGTGCCGCGCTCCGCTCCGCACCGCTCCGACCGACGATGCAGCGGTGGCTCCCGGCGCTCCTCCGCCGCGCGGCGCCCGCGGTCTCCGGCGGCGGCGGGGCGGCGCGGCTCTTCGCCTCGTCCTCCCTCCTCTTCGACGACACGCAGGTGCAGGTGCGTCATGCGCTCCCTCCCTCCCTCCCTCGCTCTCTTCATTTCACTTCCCACTCGCCCGGCGGGCCCGCCGCCATTGCCCCTTCCCCCTTGCCCGTTGCCTGATCGACCCAATTCCGCTTCCCCGCCCGCCCGCTGGCAGTTCAAGGAGAGCGTGCGCAAGTTCGCGCAGGAGGCCATCGCGCCGCACGCGGCGGCGATCGACGCGTCCAACCACTTCCCGCGGGAGGTGGACCTGTGGAGGCTCATGGGCGACTTCAACCTCCACGGCCTCACGGCCCCCGAGGAGTACGGCGGGATGGGTCTCGGCTACATGTACCACTGCATCGCCATGGAGGAGATCACCAGGGCCTCCGGCGCCGTCGGCCTCTCCTACGGCGCCCACTCCAACCTCTGCATCAACCAGCTCGTGAGTCGTCGCGGCCCCTGCTGCCGCCCACTCTGGTTATGGATTTTGCCGTGGTGACCAAATCGGTTTCGTTGGTTACTTACTACTCATGCGTAATGCTACTTGTGTGTTCTCCGTGTGCAGGTCCGGCACGGCAACCCGGAGCAGAAGCTCAAGTATCTGCCCAAGGTGCTGTGCTTTCCCAGATTTGCTCACACTATCATGCTCACTATTACTATTTCGTCAATCACGATGGATTATATTCGTTCGTTTTTGCCTTCTCTCTGAAGCTGATCAGTGGGGAGCATATCGGGGCACTGGCGATGAGTGAACCTAACTGTCAGTACCATTCCATTCCCGTTGCTGTTCTGTTCTTCTCCAGCAGTACTATAAGGTTCCTTCTGACGCGTTGCTGAAATGTAATTTCAGCTGGCTCTGATGTCGTCAGTATGAAGTGCAAAGCTGAGAAAGTGGACGGTGGCTATGTCCTTAATGGGAATAAGATGTGGTGCACCAATGGGCCGTCTGCTCAGACACTGGTATTTTCCTCTTACATTCATTCCCCTGTGCTTTCTGCACTCATGTCTGTTTCGTATGGATCATTGTTGCTTCGCTGCAATTCCTTTATTCAGCATTGGTTTCTCCACTCCATGATCACATTTTCTTTGTTGGAACAGGAGCTACGTATCTTGTTTCTCTTTTGAGCATCTTAACGACTTCAAATGAAAAACTCAAAACTAGAAAGTTGTAGATCTCGTCAGCCAAAAAAAATATTTTCTTTAATTCCTAATTCATCCATGTTTAAATGAAAATAATTTTTATATGAAAATTATTTTACAGGTTGTTTATGCAAAAAAGTAGTGGCGCGAGATCTAGCTGCAAAAACAGATCTAGCTGCAGGATCAAAAGGAATAACTGCATTCATAATCGAGAAAGGGATGCCCGGGTATAGAATCACTCCGTTATCTTCATTGGACATGACCGCATATATTTCTACAGCTTTCTGGTCATGTTACTGATGGTCCTTGTTTATGACTACAGGTTTAGTACTGCTCAGAAGTTGGACAAACTTGGCATGAGAGGAAGCGACACGTATGATGTTTCTACTTGCTCAGGATAATTATAAAAATGGTGAACTCGGGCCCAATTTAACAGCATCTAATCTGCAGATGTGAGCTTGTTTTTGAGAACTGCTTTGTGCCACGCGAAAATGTCCTCGGTGAAGAAGGCAAAGGTATTATCTCCTGACTGTTTTGAAGCTCATTCCTGTGTGTCAGATATTATTTGCTCTGTTTTCATAGTTGCCTGTGCGGTATATGGCGTAGAGATTGGAACTATAGCATCTAAATCTGACGGAAAAGATATTCTGCACATGGGAAACTGCAATAATTCTATCTTATTATCATCCAGAAGTAGTTTCTAAACTCCCTGTGGAACTAGGACTAGTTCTTTAACTAGGTGCCCACCTTTAATCTCCATACCTTCTCTTTCGCTGGTGTTTATTCTATGATTTTCTAAACCTCATATAAAACTAGAAAGAGTTCTTCAACTAGATGCTCACCTTCGATCTCTATGCCTTTTCTTGTGGCAGGTGTTTATGTCATGATGTCAGGGCTTGATCTGGAAAGGCTTGTATTAGCTGGGGGTCCTATTGGGCTTATGCAGGCATGCCTTGATGTTGTACTTCCATATGTTCGCCAGAGGGAGCAATTTGGCCGTCCAATTGGTGAATTTCAGTTCATACAGGTAAATCCTTGTAGCTGTCATGTGTTCTGTTTTCTCGTGCTTCATGGTGCAATAATTTATTAGTGCAGACATGTCACTAACGATAAAGGGTATGCTTGTAATGCAGGGGAAAATGGCTGATATGTACACCTCATTGCAGTCGTCAAGGTAGGATCTTGCTCAATATTTTTCCTTACAAGTTTAAACATCTTATCACTACAATTTCAATTTTCCATCAGATCATTTGTATACTCGGTTGCTAGGGACTGCGATAATGGCAAAGTTGACCGCAAGGTACCCTTATAAGTTTATTAGATATCATTGATGTTCCTCTGGAGTTCTGTTTTCGCATTACCTGCATGTAGTTCTGCTGTTAAAGGCAAATAAACGACTAGTTAGATGTATATTATGGTAAACTCTCTCCATCTTCATCTCATATATATATATATCTTTTTAATCAGGATTGTGCAGGAGTAATTCTCTTTGCTGCTGAAAATGCAACCCAAGTTGCACTTCAGGTAAAACCCTTCTCTTCGGTTTATTGTAAATTGTGTTAACCCATATTGCTGTGTTGTTTTCTCATGAATTCCCAAGGATGCAACTAAACAGCAGGCACCCATTCTGTTTGCTCCCCTGGGAAAATAATAGTTGACCTAGGAATTTTGCATTCGTGTTACAGTTATCATAAAGCTCTATTTGTCCTTGTCTGATAAATGCTTATTACAGAATCAATCTCTTCCAATAAAAAAACATATCATAAACCATAACATGTTTTTTTTTTACTTTGAACTAATAATTTGTAGTCTGCACCATTTTTATATGTTCCCCTAACTCTTCGTAACTCTTTCACTATGGCAGGCAATCCAGTGTCTTGGTGGAAATGGGTACATAAATGAGTACCCAACTGGTCGTCTCCTGAGAGATGCAAAATTGTTTGAGATTGGTGCTGGTACTAGTGAGGTAAGAAGAATGATAATTGGCCGTGAGCTCTTCAAAGAGGACTGAAATTTCTATTTTGCAAGCCAGATACCAGTGCATATTGTTAACTGGAGGAGGTGAGCGAGATTTAGATACTTAGCAAATCACCCCTGTGGTTCAGTAGTTCATTCCGTGCTACGCTAGCACTCTCATGCTTTTGTATAACTGCAAACACACATCAAATAAAGTTCACTTCCTTGTACTTGCTGCTTGCAGTGGTTCTATTTTTCAATCAATAAAGTTTTTTGATATGACTCTGTGACTTATGCAATGTTGGTCAGTTGCATTTTATCATATTAGTATAGACAAGAAAGTAATATAAATGTTTCAAGAAGTGCAGAATAGAGGCATTGCTTTTATAAGGAATCTTTACATCAAGAATATTTTAGTAGCTTCTCCATTTTGATGAATAATAACATCGGCACAAATTAGTTGAGGTGGTGAATTTGAATATTTGATATTCAGGACTTTATCCCATAACTGGTTTTAAAATTAAGTTTACATTGATAGCCATGATAATATATGATACACTGCTCTCCAGCGCGTTCGTGAAAAATAGTCGCAATAGTATGAATCTCTTTTGGTGGAGGAAACATGACAATAAAAAAAATAGAATACAGCTACTGACCAGAATATTCTGATAACACAATCAAGAATTGCACACCGCTTTAAAGACATGAAATCTGAGTAGCTTAAGTTTTTCAGTGATGTATCATTATGTGAAGCTACAAGAGACTCTTTCTAAACATTGATGCTGCATAGTAAATAATTGATCACTCTCTCAAGCTTTAGGGTTCTATTGACTCAAGTACCTCGGTGGACTTCACCAAAGTGTTAATACTGATGCTGCAGGTCAAGGCCTGCTTTGGATTGAGGGGTTTAGGATAAAAACTCCTGGATCAATGCTCCCTTCCCGAACAGGCTCCAAGTCTTTTGAAAAATCTAGCTGGTAGTAAAAGAGATTCAAAGAGACACTGTCACTTGCCCACTTGAGTTTTTTCTAATGCTTTGAACCATTGTAGCTAGAGAGTATTAGCGTAACAGTATAACCTCATTGTGCTCCTCTTTCCTTCTCCTCTACAGATGTTAGATAGAAGGGCAAGGCTAATCAGTATTATCATAGACCCAAAATTGGTCTAAATCTATACAAGATGGAATAAGAATTCCTTCCTGATCCAACACATACATGTTAACAGCAAATACTATAGGTCCCTTACGTCTTTATGAGAGAAAAACTTCATTTACAAACTCTAAGCTATGTGGGACAATTTGGCCGCAAGGCTTGCACAAAATTGGAGGGTTACAAGTCAGTGGGTAGCCTAATGCACAACAGAGATGTTTTTACAATCTGCTGGCTTCTGGAGGGGATGTTGCACCTTGACTGTGAGCTTTCTTTTCTGGACTTTGAGCCTTCTGTTTCTGCCTCAGTGAGCCCCACTCAATGGCCTCAGCTACAGCCTTTTGACGATTGTATGCATCCTTATCTTGCTTAGCGCTACCACTATTAGTTAGTGAGGGATCTCCAACTTGTTTCATTTGGAGTATAGGGCCAGATTTGTGTTTATAGCCAGCAGGCATTTCTGCGAGGAATCCCAGTGCCACAACAGCATCACTCATGTAAGGCCGGACTGAGGCTTCCTCTTGTAGGCACATTGCTGCCACACCCACAGCTTGGCTCAAGTCTTTTTCTGGGTACTCACCTCTAAGATTAGGGTCTACTAGCTCATTGTACCTCTTCCTGTCTCTCAGCAATGGCTTCACCTGTTGATCATAGATGAATTTGTCAGAAAACCTTGTGCCAGGAATCTTCTTTGGGTAATTCCTAACTGAGGCTTTAGTATTTATTTCCATGTGTTCCATTGCAGTTGTCAGCTGCATTATATAACTGACCACTGCAATGAACACAATGGGCAAGCAAGTTCTGAGTGTATATGTGGAGTAATAAAATAGAAGTGCGTACCCAGTTAACCAGGATTTGTTCATTTGCTGGCCTGGAGGTATCCACCGCTCTTCTTCCTGTGATCAACTCCAGTAGGAAAACTCCAAAACTGTACACGTCAGTCTTGACAGTTAGCTGGCCTGTTCTTATGTATTCCGGAGCACAGTACCCATATGTTCCCATCACCCGAGTGGAGATGTGTGTCTTTCCCCCGACTGGACCAAGCTTTGCGAGCCCAAAATCTGAGAGCTTAGGGTTGTACTTCTCATCAAGAAGGATGTTGGGGGACTTGAGATCCCGGTAAATGACAGGTGGGTTCGCCTTCTCATGGAGGTATTCAAGCCCTTTAGCAGTTCCATGAGCTATCTTCATCCTGAGATACCAACTCAGTGGCACTTGATCAGGAGTGCTATCTGCAATGGTAATTCAAATTTGAACATTTAAGTATCTTGTTCACCATATTATAAAATTATGTAGCACTGATATAGTGATATCTGAATGTGTAGTGAAGACAAAAGACTACCACTTACCAAGCAGGTGATCTGCAAGTGAACCAAGTGCCATGTACTCATACACCAGAAGCCTTTGATCTCCATCTGCGCAATAGCCAACCAAATTGACTAGGTTTGGATGGTGCAATAGACTGAGCATCAGGACCTCAACTAGGAACTCTCTGTTGCCTTGATACCCATTCAGGTCTAGTTGCTTGACAGCAACAAGCTGTTCATGCAAACCGAAAACAAGTCAGCCACTGGTTACTGTAGATGAATTAGCAAGTGTGTGTACGTAGGATGTTTGAATGTTTTTCTGTGTGGTGTGTACCTGTCCATTTTCAAGCTTGCCCTTGTATACCCTGCCAAAGCCCCCTTCTCCAAGGAGGCAGTCGGAACGGAAGTTCTTTGTAGCCGTGGCTAGCTCACGGAATGTGAATGCTTTTGCGGTTTTGGAAACAGAACAACTTCCTTTAGGAGGTTCAATGCTTGTTGCTGTTTCAGATGATGGCTTGTGCTTGTGCTTTGAAGTGACTGGTGGTGGCCTGACGGACCCTGCAAAGGTGAGTGGTAACCTGCATTAGACATAAATTTCTATTGTCTGCTCATTTAGTTGTTCAGATTCTTCTTGTCATTTGCTGAACAAATTTGAAGAGCATGTATATGAATATGTTATATCACTGAAAGCCAATTTCATCCATAACAGTTAAGAACTAGACATGAATTGCAGTGGGCAGAGCCTGCCATTATTTTCAAAAAAAAAAAAATAGACATGAATTGCAGTAGTATGTATAACACCAAAATACATGTGATACTGACAGGGAAACAGATAGTGCACAATATAATTGCTACATAGATTCGGTTCAGAGGAATATATACATAATCCAGAGGGAACACAGTGGCACAGGGGTGTTGTTTCGTCCTTAAACAAAGATATACACTGAATGGTCGGTATTTTCAGGTCTAAAAGCATCTGCACAGGAAACCACTGACCCTGCTAACAGTATATATAGATTGTTTAACCACAGGTTCCAGCTATAAAATTGATGTGCAGAAGAACAGGACGTATTGGGGGATTGCAGATTTTGGATCTTTATACTGCTGCATTGTATTTAATTTGTTGCTTAATTGTTTGATCTGTTTGCCGACATGGCTCCTAATAATCGTATTTTATGCTATCAGTTTGAACAGTACAAAACATGCTAATTCCTTATTTCTCTTTGCAATCAGTGGCAGGAGCATCTTATGATCCTTACCAGATTCCCTGGGAGGCGCTTCATTCTGGCTCGGGGCCTTCTTCACAACCGTGACCTCCCTGGATTCCAGCCTCCGGGGAGGCATCTTCTTCTTAGGCTTGAAACACCCAAAGCAGCTCATCTTCTCCCAACTGTATGTATCAAACCTTGGATCCCTATTCCTCTCCGCTCTTGCAGTTGGTAAACCTCTTCCCTCTCTCTAGAACGCACAGACCAATCTGCAGACCTCGTTGTGTGGACAATGGGAGCACGGGTGGGAGTTTTTATGCCGCATCATCCTCCTCCTTGTCCTTGTGCTAAAGATCTCGCATACAGGCTATCGATCCGTGTTGGTGCTTTGTGCGCGGTAAATGTGTTCTCTGTGGGGAAATGTGGTCAGATGGGATGAGCATTGGCTTCATGCCTTTGCGCGGAGGAGGATTTGCTGAGCCAAGAATAGGCTCTGGGGGTGCTAAACTTAGAAGCGCTTTGCGTCTTCCAGGATCTGTGTCCCAGGTAACGCGCTGGATGTGATGTCTTCCCTCGGAAAGCCCCAACTCCATCTAGGAAGAAAACACGGCTGGATTGTTTCTTTTTGATAGAAATGGCAATTCCCGTTCATTGGTCTCCCAAGTCCCAACTCCATCTAGGAAGAAAAATATTGTTTGCTGGATTGTTTCTTTTTGATAGAAATGCCAAACCAGCGAACGTGCTCATCAGCTTATCAAGCCCCAACGTTGGGTTTTTACTCGGTGATAAACTAGCTGCCAGTTGAGTTGAGCTTGATAAGCTCGGAGCCTCATCAGACGTTGTTGTTCCAATTTTGGTCGGTGTCGGTTTTATGTGGATGCCTACCTGGTTTTACAGACAGAGACAGTAGCCAGCCACTGCACATAGGTTATCGTTCAGTTCCCTTGTCTGTACTCGATCTGTCTACTTGCAGTTGCAGGCGCCCGCTGCTGCTGTGGTTGTGTGGTGGCAAAACAACTGGGCTCTTTTTAGGTTTTGATTTGAATCATGGTAAAAGAAACAGAAATTTAACTGATTTCGACAGGCTCAAGGGACATGGATTGTCTATTGTCTGGTAGGAGTAGTACATTATTATGGTTGCACGACCTGATAGTCCTTTCTGAATCTCTGATCCAGGCCTGCAGGACACGTGAGAGGCTGTACAGTGGGCACTGCTGCCCTTTTCAGGCTGTGATGCAGCAGGAATACTGGCTGGCCATTGGCCATGCGTGCAGTCCCCATGCACAAGTGTGAGATCTGTTGCTTGATAATTGATATAGATCTGGAAAAAGGTAAAAATGCACGGACGGTCCTTAATTAGTCTGTTGAGAGGTGTCATCTGGTCCTGAGGTATCGTCCAGGCTCCTAGTATGTATTTTCAGGTCCTCAAATTTGTCATGGACGTTATCTAGATCCTAAACTTTCCAAATGTAATTTCCGAGTCCTCATTCCTCAAAGTTATAGGGCGCTCTCAAGTGGCCTCTACCTGAGACTCAATAAGGATACTTTTTTTTTTGTCCCGGTGACCTCCCGTTCAAGGTCGGCATCTTGAGAGTTTAGGACATCATCAAAGATAGCTTAAGACAAGTTTGAAAACCTGTAAAAATGGATTTTGAGAGGTCAGAGATCTGAATAACACATCCCACGCGAGCGAGGGATCGGACAAAAAATATCCTTCAAATTGTGGGGTGCATAAATAATAATGCCCTGAGCCTTTTTTCTGACTTAGTTAAAGGACTACCTCTGTACTGTACCGTAGATGGAGTGGATCTTGCATGTCATATCACAGATCCATATGGACTACTACCGCAAGCTGAGCAGTTATTAGGCCCAAACAAATAAATACGCCGAAAACTCTCGGTCTCGGCGGCGGCCCTGGATTACGTACGTATGCAAATGAAGTGAAGGGGACCCTATGCATCCGCGATCCACCGATCCATATCCATTGTCTGGTTGACTCGGCGGCTGGCTGATAAGTTATGGCCGAAAGTAATGTTGGCTGATTTATGGTGAGAGAAAAATACTGTTCGTTGACTAAAAAAATACGGTTTATAAGATACACATATTCGCGTGCCATTAAAGAGCGCGCGGCTAATGTGGAGTGAAGCTGTGGGCTGTGGCTTGCTTGCCTACCTTACCTGCCATGCCATGCCCCATGTTGTTGCCATTGGCGCGTAGGCGTAGTAGATACTACACGTACGTACATGCAGGCAGGAGCAGGAGCGGCGGCCCCGTTGCAGTACCAGCAGGGGGTGTACATGCGTCCGGCGTCCGGGAGGGACTTCGGACTGGTCCTGCTGCAACCGCAACACTGTCCGACGGCCCGTCCAAGTGAAGAAGAGAGCTGTGGGGAGTACAGGGTACTGGCGTACTGCTAGCTTTACGGGCGCAGCCCACAGAGAGAGGCCGCCATGTGTCAGATTCAGATCCTTAGGATTCAGGCCCCGTTTGTTTCCATGTAAAACTTTTGCCATGCACTTTTAACCATTTTTTTAGCAAAATGGATCCAAACAGATAAGCTAAAAGTGAGCAAAAGGAGAAGCTAAAGTTTAGTCTATTTCACCTCAAGATGTGCAAAACTGAGCTAAAAGCATTAAGAGGTGTGAAGAAAACCTCATTTTGTATTTTTAGCCTATGTTTTTACCATGGATCTAAACACCCAAACAAAAACTAAAGTTTAGCGGTAAAAGTTCAGTGGTGCGAAGGATTAGGATTGCACTCCGAAGATGCAATGCAACGATTAGTCACATCACAGGTAAACCATAAAAATAAGGCCAAGTAGAGAAGGGGAGAACGAGAGAAATTACAGCGTTTGAAGTCCTTCCCCCCCCCCATCGACTACGTGTCGTGCATCTGAGCCGCCAGATCACATCTTGGGCGGCGCGCGTCTCCACCGTCCTTTACTCGCTCGCTTGACTGGAGATCCTGACACCATGGCCCCTTTCCGTTTCTTCTCTTTCTGCAACTACTATTCCTCATTCGCCGAGAAATTGAGCACGACGGATTCGGGAAAAGAAACGGAAAAGGGGTGTGAAATGAATGACCTAATGAACACCTTTCCCTGCAGGTCGCTGTAGCATAGCACGAGGAGGAGCGTAGCCTAGACTAGACTCGCAATCCCTGCAGCCAATGTCCGTTGCCCACTAGAGATAGTGCCATAAAAATCCTTTGCGCATTTTGCTGGAAAAGGATGGCTCCTCTAGGAGTAGTAGCAGCAGTAGTAAAAAGGCAGGTGCGCATGAAAATGAAATCATTTTCAACCCCACGGAGGCACCAACTGACAGTATCCAAGCAATTGGAGTATGAGCGTTGAATTCGATCCCAAGCCTGAGAGCGACGCTACACCAACAGCTCCCTCGCAGATTCTCACGCCCCGGCCGGTTCCCTTTTCTGCCGCTTCAGCAGCACACACACTTGATTCTAGATATTGCTATGTAGAGAGGAGGCCGGATGCAGAGGGAACGAGCCGAGCGTCCGGTGACACGGTGATCGATCGGTGAGACGTGCGTGCGACGACTCGTCGCGCTCTCGCCAGCGGCGACAGTGTTCCTACCGTTTCCAGCAGCTTGTTGGCGACAGTGTTCCTACCGTTTTCCAGCAGCTTGTTCCTACCGTTTGCCAGCGGCGACATGCATTTCTTTGTTTGCTTCCCTACATGCTACAGTATATCCACAGTATATCCAATCAGTTATATCACATCTAATAATAGACCAATAATAACGCACTTGTGGCGTAGTGCACGGCTACATTATTGTATTCCCTCTGTTCTAAAAAGTTTTTGAGTTTGATCAAATCCATTAAAAAACAAGTTAGTAATATATATGATAGTTTGATTACTTATGAAATATATTTTTGTGGTGAACTTATTTGGCGACATAAATATATTGATACTATTTTTTTTGTAAACGTGGTTAACGTAACAGAGTTTGACTTGTTTTAATTCTATCTAGAATTGCTTCCTTTTTATTAGGATATAAATAACACTACATCCGTTTCAAATTATAAGTCGTTCTAACTTTTTCCAAAGTCAAAGCATCTCGAGTTTGGCCAAAGTTTGTAGAAAGAATTAAAAGATTTATGACATGAAATATGCATACTATGAAAATATATTTAATGAAGAATCTAATGATAATTATTTGGTATCATAAATGTTATTATTTTATTGTATAAATTTAGTTAAACTTTAGATGGTTTGATTTTCTAAGAAAGTTAGAATCACTTATAATTTGAGATGTAGAGACCAGTGAGACGTACTAGTACGGGAGACGGCACCGGTATACCATTCTTTTCATTTATCTGTTGGGTGCATTGTCCATTTGCCTCTGGTGAGAGCGAGAGCGAGAGAATACCTCTTCCCACACCCATCCACTCTAGTCTCCACCCAAGGAGAAGGAAGTGTGCCGTAGGGTGACACTTTCTTTTCCCTGTATATACAGCATTGCATTGGGCACATTTGACTCTTGTCACCATTTCTTATGAAAAAATCTCCCCTTGATCTTTGATGTAGCAGTAGCATGCACATATTCCTTGTGAAAAATGGAACCTAGTACGAAACACGAATATATATATTAATATATAATTCCCAGGTGGGCCCCACGATCCCTTTCCAACGCGCGTTAATCCCAGCGCGACAAGGACTTTTCACCGCCCACCTGCCTCCAACATGGCACTGCTACCACCTGCCCCACTACGAGGAAACCTGCAATCTTTTTTCCTCCTTTTTTTACTTATAATATATACAGGTCACGAGTCCCCTTCCGTTTTCATCGAGAGCATTAACATTTTCACGGGAACGGGAAGCGGCACAACTTCGCCGAGTCCGTTCATTTAACAACATAATACACTAAGGTCATGTTTGATGCTATAATAGCTAGTTAATAGTTCAAGCTAATATTAACAAGTTAACTATTAGCTGCCTATATATTAGCTAATTGTCGTTTGAGCTCACTAGCTACTAAAAAGCGGCTGCATTCATGTTTTTGTCTATAATAAATCTATTTTTTCTATTCTTTGTGTTGTTATTGGTACAACATGCAGATATAGCGAGGCAAGAGGGCGAAACTGCATCATTTATGGGTGGAGATATATATCTAGCGAGGTACTCGTTAGCTAGGTAACCAGCTAATAACTAGCTGATTTGTTAGCCATGTCTGTTTGTTAGCGAGGTAACTGTTGAGCGGTCGTGTTCTTTGCTTGTATATGCGCGTGGCGCATAGACCTGCAGATGTGGACGACGGAACAACGTACTTCTCAGTGATGATGAGAGCGACGCTAGCGACACGACTCCTACTCCTACTCCTACCGTTTTCCAGCATCTAGCTAGCTACCTTGTTTGATAATTAAGTACACAAGAACCATGGCAGGAAACATCCAAAACGTACGGGACATTGATTTCCAGAACAACAACAAAAAAAAAAGGAGCTAGCACTCATCATTCGTAAACGTAGGTGGTTACCACATCAATTGCTCTTGCATGCTCCGTGCGATGCATTACGCGTCCCATATACTACCTGTATGCGTGTCCGCAGAAGTGCTTCACGTTTAACCAAATTTTTAGTAAATAGTATTCACATTTATGACTCCAAACCAATTTATTATAAAAATATATTTTATAATTAATCTAATTATATTTATTTGATATTATAAATATTTATATTTTTTATCTATAATTAATCAAACTTGGTATACTAAAATATTATATTGTTTCAAAATTGCATTCTTTTGGGAATGGAAGGAATAGCTTCTTCACACGAGTGACCGTGCATTCATCTGTTCTCCATGCCAGGGAGCCAAAAAAAAGAAGAAGAAGAAATACGTAGAACACATAGCCGTGCGTACGTACTGTTGTGTCACGATGGTGGTAGTAACAGCGAGTCCCAATCGCATGGCCATCGTACGCAACGCAACCCGTGATGGCCGAGCCGATCGGACGGACGGCTTGCAGGGCTACACGTACGCCGGGCACCGGCCAGCGTGCTTGTTTGCTCGTCATCATATAGAAAGCGCCGGGCGGCACACGGCTGATATGATCCTGCCGCCATCGGGCCCGCGGGACAGCGACCAGCAGGATCGATCGAGCTCATCACGGGACGAGATACCCTAATGATTTGTGCCTTTGGATGTCGACAACTTGCATGCCAATGCCACTGCTATGCGTGCTCGATCACAGTGGCATCAGTTGGTGCGACGTGCCACCAAGCGTCACTACCAACTAGTGGCGGCCACCTTTTCTTCTTCTTCTTCTTCTACTGCTACTACTACTACTACTATTCTACTAGTACTAGCACAGTGTTAGGATTAGTGCTCCTCGCGGACGTGTACTAGTAATGCCGGCGCCGGACTTCCGGTTGGTGGCCACGCCATGGATGTCAAAGCAAGGTGCAGCCGTGGAGCACTAGCGCACTAGCAGAGCCGAGAAGAAGGAGAAGAAGATGCTTTCCTTTGCCTTGCGATCGTCTTTGTTGCCCAATGCAAGCACAGGATCGCACACCAGCGCAAGTTATCCTTTCCTTTGTGACGTCACAAGGATTGATCCTTGTGACGTCATCACAGGAAGAACACAACAGAGAGAAAGACATCCTTTTTGCTCTCTCGGAGTCAGAGAGAATAATCTTCTGGTCCGTGATCTGAGACCGTGGCCTGGAATTATTTTCATGCTCGGCAAAAAGGTCTATCTATCTATCAACAAAAAGGTGGATGGGGGAGGGGAAAGCTGGCGTTTTGATCCAGCTGCAGTTCTGTTCGAGGAGGACGGCAATGGCTGAGCTGAGCTGAACGAACGAACGAATCATGTGATTTCTGAATTATTATCGAGAGAAAATGTATGTAATGTAACAAATGGAGGCTGCCTTTGATGATGATTTGGACTCTGCAGTCCATTGCTGCTACTAAAATTCTATGTACCCATCAATACATACATATGGTGTTTCTTCTTTTCGCGTTCGAGATCGGCAAGGATTCAGAAGACAAACTCTAGCTACCTACCGCCGGCCGCCGGTCACCTGGCGTCGCCGGCGGTGCAGCTGAACCCGATGTCATGGCCGCCCCTGCGCAGCGTGCTGGTGAGCGAGGACGAGCTGAGCGAGTCGGCGGACGACGAGTCGTCCGACACGCCGGCGAGCCCCAGCAGCAAGGCGTTGTAGTCCGACACGCTGTCCTGCAGGCTGAGCAGCAGCTGCTGGTTGTTGGCGCTGCCGCCGAGGCTCATGGACGGCCTGACCGCGGGGACGAACGGCGGGTCCGCCTCGCCGCCCAGCACCTGCACCACGCCGCGCATCCCGGGCCGCAGCGCGGGTTCCGGGCTGGAGCACGCCAGCCCCACCAGCAGCGCGCGCCGCGCCTCGTTCTCGTCGAACTCCCCGCCCAGCCGCGGGTCCATGGCGTCCAGCAGCCGCGCATCCCCGTGCAGGCTCCACACCCACTCCACCAGGTTGTTGCAGCACCTGCCGGCATCATTTGTCGCGCCGATAGGCCGTCGCCCGCACGCCACCTCCAGCGCGAGCGCGCCGAAGCTGAACACGTCGGTGCACTCGGTGGCGCGACCCGTCAGGAGGTACTCGGGCGCCAGGTACCCCATCGTGCCGGCCGCCGCCGTTGCGTCGGGGGACTCGCCGTGCTCCGCCTGCCGCGCCAGCCCGAAGTCGCCCAGCCGGGCGCGGTAGGCTTCGTCCAGCATCACGTTGCTGGACTTGACGTCGCGGTGGATCACGCGCCGCTCGCACTCGTGGTGGAGGTACGCCAGCGCCGACGCTACGCCGATCAGGATCTCGCGCCGGTGGTGCCACGGCAGCACCGGGGAGGAGGCGTCGAACAGCGCCTTGTCCAGGCTGCCGTTGCGCATGTAGTCGTAGACCAGCAGGATCTCCCCTTTCTCGTAGCACCACCCCTGCAGGCGGAGCAGGTTCCGGTGGCGGAGCCCCGCGATGATGGACAGCTCCGACAGGAACTCCGACCGCGCCTGCTGCTCGCCGCTCGCGTTGCCGCCGCCGCGCGCGTTCGTGCACCGCTTCACGGCGACCATGGCTCCCGTGTCGGGGACGATGCCCTTGTACACGGTCCCGAACGCTCCGTTGCCGATGACGCGGGACGCGGCGAAGCCCCGCGTGGCGGCGCTCAGCTCCTTGTAGCTGAACTCCCGCGGGGACCGCGCCAGCGCCGCCGCCGACGCCACGCTGCTGTCGCGCTTGGTGGCCACCGCCACCGCGGTCTGGCCGCGCTTCCTGGCCCTGGCGCGGCGCGCCAGCGCCCAGAGCGCGATGCCCGCGAACGACGCGGCCACGAAGGCGCCCGCCGTGGCGGCGCCGGCCACGGCCGCCTGCGCGGGCGGGCGCGGCGTCCCCGAGCCGACGGCATTCCTCCCCGCCGCGGCGGAGCCCGATGGGGCGATCGACCCGGCCGGTGCGGCGGCACCCGTCGTGGCAGCTTGCTGCGTCGGCGTCGTCACTCCCGGAAGCAGCGGCGACGGGAGCACCGGGCTGGCGACGGGAGGCGGGAGCACCGGGGTGGACTCCGGCGGGGGGCGCGACGGAACGCGGGGACGGTGCCGGCGACGCGGTGGAGAAGCTCCACCACTCGATGGAGTGCGCCTCCGTGCTCCCCTGCGTGGAGGCGGAGAATCCGACGAACGCGGCGTCCTTGACGCGCTCCCCGAGGTCGAGCGGCGCGGACAGCACGGGCCTGGGCGGGCGCTTGGGCGCGTAGGACACGAAGACCTCCAAGATGCCGCCGCCTTTCCCGTCGCCGGGCCGGTAGTCGATCCAGGCGTTGACGGTCCTCCCGCTGGCGAGGTCGACGCCGCCGCCGGCGGCGTCGTCGGCCCCGAGGTCGGCTGCGGCTGCCGAGACCATGGAGCCGAGATCCAGGCCGACGTGGTTCCCGTTGGGGTCGCCGAACTGGACGTCCATGAGCGTGTCGAACTCGACGGCCGCGGCGTCGGTGGCGACGGACACGCCGATGTAGGCGCCCGCGTCGCCCAGCGTGGCCCCGTCGGTGGCCAGCACGAACGCCAGCCCGCCGCCGACCGAGGACGGGTTGAGCGTGGCCACCGTGAAGGCGAACTGCGTTGAGAACCCGCCTCGGAGCGGCACCGCGATCGTGCCGTTCTTGAGGTGCGCGTCGCCCAGCAGCGTCAGGCTGCCCAGGGTCAGCGAGGCGTAGTCGAAGCGCACCGCGGCGGCGGGCGCGGGGCCGTGGTCAACGAGGAGGAGGATGAGGAGGAGGGGAGGAGGGGCGCGGCGGCGGCGGCTCGGGCCATGGCGGCGGACGCGAGCGCCGGCATTGGCTGCGCGCATCAGGCGCGGAGCACGGGTGCTGCTTCCCGGCCCGTGAAGCGATCCGTCGCTGGAACTGGGATGGCAGGGAGGAGCTGGCGCTGGCAGGCGAGGGGAGATTGGGTCATTGGGGAGTGTGCGCGAGATCGGTGAGGTGGGGGACTGGGCAGACCGCAGACACTCACACAGCAGAGAGAGAGAGAGAGAGAGAGAGGCAGCGGCCGGCCGCTTTTTCTAGAGAGGGAGAGAGAGGGTGAGGTGTGTGAGGGACGTGCGCCCGGGGTGGCAACGGTAGGGAGGTCAGGCCGTCAGGGAGAAAGAAGCAAGGGAGGAAGAAGAGTGTGGATGGACGGACACGGACTAGTGAGCGTGACAGTTGTGTGAGGGAGTGGGTGGGCGAGGTGCTGCGGTCTCCTCCTCGGTTTGGACGGACGCGGACGCCCGACCAAGGCCTCTCTGCCTGCGGGAGTGCGGGTCATGCATGCTCTCCAACGTCGACGTGGAGGAGCCGCGAGCGTGGCATGGCACTATGGCAGCGCGGACAGGGAGGCGCTGGCAGGCAGCCAGGCAGGCCAGCTAGTGCGGCGCCGACTGCCGTGTCGTTCTGCGGCGGTGCCCATCCCAGCCGCCGGCCTGCCCACTCATCAAACGGTAAAAGCAAGACGCCGGTGGCTTCCGTTGGCACGTCACGTCGCCGAGATCTTGGGCTTGGCCGTCCGTTCCCGTTCCCGTTCCCGTTCCCGTTCCCTATGGGGCTGTAACGTTCGCCCGTTCCTGCCGCGCACTGACGCTGTGCTGTTGTCAGTGTCAGGTCAGCTGTGCGCGACGCAGCGTTGAAATCTTCCGTTCCTAGCTACGACTGTAGTACAGAGTAGCACGGAAAAGAGAGAGAGAAAGGCTTGATTGACCATTGACCGTTGCTCGGCTCGCGAGATAAATCTTTTAAGTCTAATTAGTCTATGACTTGACAATAAAATACTACAGTAATATATGTGCTAATGATGAATTAATTAGGTTTAATAAATTCATCTCGCGGTTTCCTGACGGATTCTGTAATTTGTTTTTTATTAGTATTCAAACACCTTATACAATATCCTATGTAACATCCGATGTGAAGTCATGGAACTTTACGCCCTAGAACGGAACCAGGCCTGGCCAGACGGCCGGCGGCGGCGGCGGCCATGGCAGACGAGCCAGCCAGCTGAGGTGGCGTCAGATCGACGTCCCGGGAAGGGAATGAGATATGATCAGCCTGTTCGCTTGTTGGTTTCAGCCAGCCCAAACCAGTCAGCCAACAATATTTTTCTCTCAAAAAAACCAGCACCAGCCAGTCCAAACCAGCACCGGCACCAACCAGCGAACAGGCGCGATAAAATAATACTAGTAAAAAAAATATAACAATGTAGCTGCCCATTGATCCCCTGGCTCTGAATCCCAAACGCACTCTACTAGTTCGCTCATCTCAATACGTCGGCTCTTCTCTCTTGGTCGATTGCAGCTTGCTACTGGTCCCTGAATCCTGAGCTACTGAAGAGTACTGCACTTGTGTAGGAGTACCTTACCTAGGCCTTATTTAGATTGGGATTAGGAATCAGTATTTGACACTGTAGTATTTTCGTTTGTATTTGACAATTATTGTCCAATCATGACCTAACTAGGCTCAAAAGATTCGTCTTGTAATTTACAATCAAACTGTGTAATTAGTTATTTTTTTATCTATATTTAATACTCCATGCATATATCCAAAGATTTAATGTGATGAAGAGAGAGTGAAAAAACTTACAATCTAAACAAGGCCCTACATCCATCTGCAACAAAGTACGAAACTACATTTGGTTTGCAAATTTGGTGGGGCCGATTTATTACATTTACCGGAAGACGTCGTTTGTATTTGTACTAGAGCAGGAGATGTACTTGCTCCGTTTTAAATTATAAGTTGTTTTGACTTTTTTGGTTCATTCATTTTTCTATATATCTAGATATATTATTTATCTAGATGTATAGCAAAATAGATATACCAAAAAAGTTCAATCGACATATAATTCTGAACGGGGGAGTATTAAATAAAGAGATGACGAAACTTGTGGCATTGGATGCGGGTAAATAAAGGGAAAAACAAGCGTCAAGATTTTACCACCACGATGTGGCTGATTCCCCCAGTCGCACTCCCACACGCACCGATCGGGCCTGTTCGACTGGTATTAAAGCCAGCTGAAACTGTTTTGTTGTGAGAGAAAAATGCTATTCAAGCGAACAGGCCAATGCATCCGCCTGGCCTTGGGCCGGCCTACTGTCACGGTTAGCATAGTTTAATCCTCTTTCTCGAAAAAATATTTCTTTGAGAAAACCACTCTCTAAATCTCGAATAGAAGGAAGAGCAAATCAATCCAATTTTCCTTTCTCTACCACACATATGGCGGTGTGATGGTCGGAGATAGGGGCGAAAATGGCGGTCTCCGGTGCTATTTGCCAAAAGAGTGTGACGTGCCATCTAGGGCAGTGCCACAGGGGTTTCGGCATAGACTCCGCGCACACAAGCACCTTGGTGTTCGTCCACGGTTGAGGAGTTGCAAGACAGATGGAGGAAGAGGTAAGAGAGAAAAGGTAGAGGGAAAAAATATTGGGCCACTGACACATGGATCCCATATGTTTATGGATGAAAAAGAGTAAAAAGTTTTTCTCAGTCGGCTGGCGTCCATCTCCCCTATTCCCTTTAGGCTCCCTTTTGAAGGAAGCAAAAAAGTATAGGAACCTTTGAAGGAATTTTGGAGAGCAAAACATGAGCTCCAACCTCATTGTTTTTATTTCCTATGTTTTCTCCTGCATTGCTTCTAAACTCATTTTCTCTAAGCTTTCCTTTGTTCTGAAATCATGTAGGATTTGAAGTGTTAGGATATTTTATTCCTATGTTTTTTTCACTTTCATGTGTTTTGTAAACCCTATGTTTATAAGGAAAATTTAATCTTATTTTTTTGGTCTCTTATTATATCAACATTTTAGGAAAAAATAATCCTCAATTTAGTGAGATGTTCTAAGTATCTCTGTCCAGGCATTCGGTGGAGCTATACTAGGTAGTCACAATTATTATTGCATTATCTAATAAGGAGTTGACGCTTTCAGTTGTGGCAATGCATGCATTTTTTTATTTTATTTTTTACTTTTTGGTTTCGCCAACGTCGAGGCAGATGCTCTGCGCTGCTCGGCTACTCATCATCCCAAGATCTAAAGCGTCCGCAAGGAACACGTGGTTGCTTGGGATCGGTAGCACTACTAGTGCAGTGCTTCTGTGTCAATATCAATAATAGAACCAAATGTTTGACTATAAACCAAATCATAGGAGTCAAACTATGCAATAGTTATTTTCCATATGTCTCTAAAAAAGTTTTTTTATTATTATGTGTACCATGTCTTACTTTCTCTTTCCTATTCATCTTTTACACTTTTTTTCATATTATGCTTTCATCCAACATGTTGCTTGCGTGACAAACTCTTTCTCTCTTTAGGCCCTCCACGTAAAAAAAATATTGACTAGGGCCTTGATTAGATTGCTGCTAGGAATCGTATTTGCAGAAGTTTTCGTTGTTTTGCATTATTATCCAATTATGGCTAACTCTTCTCTCTCCATCAAACTATCTTTAGCTCCTACATAAAAAAAAAAGATTTGATGTGATGAAAGAGCTGAATCTAGGCTATAAGCGCATTACGCAGATGCAGTCGACGCTACGATCCGTGGCGGCGCGCCGGCGCCACATGCACATGCAGACTCTGCTTACCACGCACGCCTCGTCACATGCCGTTTTGGGTGTTGAGCATGGTCGTCGCCTGCTCCGTAAGCTTTGCACACAGGTTCGCGTATTCTCCGGCCAAGAAAATGTTCTTCAGCCCGTGACGACTGACGACAACGAGGCATGACACGAGCAGTAGCCCATGCTGCCCTGCATCTCCGGTCTACGGCGACGACTCCGGCACGCCACTGATATGGATGTTTATATACTACAAAACAGTTACTAAGTATCATAACATTCGGCGTAACTTGGCATAGAATATATTTTGATTATAAATATTGCTCTTCTTTTCTAGGAGGATAAATTTAATTGATTTTTTTTTCCAGGATGGAGGTGGTGACGCGCAAAGCCATGCCGTAGTGCAAGGTTGGCATCCATCCCCTTGCAAGCTAACTAACTGAAAGGGTTTGTACAGCAAAATCAGATTCTGTACATGATAGCCTGGATTATACACACACACACATGTACCATACAACAACAAAAGTGAGTGGACGTGTATCCATCTGTCGTCCCGACGGACGGAGCCGTGAGAATCAAACATCAAGCATGCTTCAAACCTACTCCTGTCGAGAGACGAGATGGCATGGAGGAGTAATAATAATTATGTTACTAATTGATACCTTGCTTGCTTAATCATAGCATACATGCTTAATCCTGCTGCCTTGCTAATTGCCTTGTCGTTCATATGCCGACACTAATAACATGGATTGCTATTAGCTGGTGCTAAGTAGAAACAGGTCAGCACACTTGACTTGATGCACTATATATCCGCCACGCTTGGGTCCGATCCACGTCATATTATAACTAGGAAGAGAGGCGCTTTGTCATGCTAATGGCCCTGCCTGTGTGGGAGGCACACATAAGCAGCTTTTGTACTGCTGGCCTGATTAATTATATTCATGTTTTGAGGCTGATGAAACGCATATAGGTCAGAGTGGGCTAGCCTGTTAAAACTTAGACCATCGCACATGGTGAGGTCCGGTGCGGCACCTAAGAGAATTAGATAGGAACCCTCAAATTAATCCTATAATCAATGATCCGAAAGTCTAACAGTTGATTTCGTATCAATAGACAAACATATATGTATCAAACATGTATATGAAGTATGATACATGACAGTCACATACAAAATCCTGAAAACATCAAAATCCTAGCATTACAGGATATATATCACTTTGTAGGCACGTAAAAATTTTGAT